GATATATTCTATTCTTAATCTTTTCACTTAGCATATGATGATTTTTTTTTGCCATCAATAAATTTAGAGCAATATCATCTACTCTATTACATTTCTTCAACTAATATCCCTTTGTGATGAGCATACTTGTAATGTATCTGTGCATATTTGTCTAATTATAGCCCTAAATAAATCTCTACAAGTACGGATTTTTATATACATAGTCCAATTGCTCTTCAGAAAAGCTGTACCGGTTTACACTCCCATCAGCAGTGTGTACTCTTATACATTTCCCAATTTGGATAGGGATTTTTCTGTCATTTTGGAAATATTTTCAATATGAGAAACAAAAAGAGTATCTCATTATTTTAATTTCTATCCTCTGACTTCTTGTAAGGTTGAACATTTTCAGAGGTTTATCATTCATTTGTATTTTTTCTTTTCTGAATCCCCCATTCATGTCATTTGCCCATTTTCAATTGAACAGATTTGTCTTTTATAGTTAGGTTTAGCTATTATGAAACATTTGTATGGGTAGGTAAAAATGATTGAGTGGCAGCAAGTTTTTATGTTTTGACATGATGTAGTGAGGAAGTTAAGTCCTTTGCTTTGGTCTGTTGCTTATATTGCAAATATTTTTCCCTTTTTCTATCTGCTTTTGACTACATGGTGCCCCTCAATGTAAAGGGACTTTAACTTTTTATATGGTCAACTCTGATACTTTTTTCCTTTTTGGTCACACTGATAGTATTATTCTTTATGATTTCTAGGGAAAAAAGGGTTCCAGAATCTCCCTGAAGAGCCACTGGATGAGAACAGACAGAACATGGAAAGGTTAGGGTAATAAGGGTAGGATGATTGTAGAGAAAACCCAAACATCCAAACTAAACAATTTGCCAAGTCAACATTCTCACCCTTCTGCCAGTAAGTGGAGAAATGTATATATTGTAAGATGTAAATATCCTGGAATGCATTGAAGACAGTAAGTAAATTCCAATCTAAGAATGTGACGAAATATTACTTAAGATTTGATGATTCATAATTCCATTTTTAAAACATAAATATACCCTTATAACCCTGATTCAAGCATGACAAAATTGATACATGTAACCAAAAACATTTGTACACCTATAATATTTTGAAATACAAAAATAAAACAAATTTTAAAAATAAAAAATCATAAATGTAAATAAAATAGGACATATTTCTTTTTATTTGTTTATTTATTTATTTCAAGATATTATGGGGTACAAACATTTTGGTTACATGTTATGACTTTGCCACACCCAAACCATGATTTGAGGTTTGCCTTTTTCCCTCTACAATGCTCACCATGTCCATTAGTTGTGAGTTTACCCACCCCTAACCCCCTAATCCCTGGAGAATATTACTAGCGTGTGAGCACCATAGTGTTGATCAGTCAGTGCCAATTTGCTGGCGAGTACATGTGGAGCCTATTTTTCCATTCTGGTGATACCTCGCTTTGGAGGATTGGCTCAAGCTCCATCCAGGAAAATATAAGAGGTGCTAGATCACAGTCGTTTCTTATAATTGAGTCATATTCCATTGTATACATATACCAAATTTTATTAACTCACTCATGAATTGATGGGCACTTGGGTTGTTTCCACATCCTTGCAATAGTGAATTGTGTTTGAAGGATCACCTTGGTCCCTCTTGTTTAAATGTATGATATAAAAAGAACAAAGGTCCTATTTCTTTTGTGTTAAGAAGCAGCACGATTCAGACACGCAGGTGTGCAATGATCGTTACACTTCATGGGACACAACACTGTTCGGTGGAATTTTTCTTCATCATTGAGATGGCACACCTTTCAAACCGCTTCATTTCTGAGGACACCCTGGGAAAGATTACTTACCTAGGAAGGGACTGAGCCCATCGCATTCATTTACAAGAGCCTTTCACAATGGACAAGGCACCTCCCAAACCTCAGTCAAATCCTCAGGTGAATTATGCCCCAGTCCATGATCCATCCCCACTCCATACCCCTAGCTCCTTCTGAGCTTTCCCAAACAACTTACAGCAGTGTTCTCGTGTGAAATTAACAATTTCGCAAGGCTGTTAGAAAGATGGAAAAAGACAGGGAAAAGGAAAAAGTATTTAACTTGAAGCATATTTTTCTTCACCTTTGTGACTTGGAAATGTCATATGAATGTTACCAGTGCCTATCTGAAGTTTTTAATCTACAACAGAAAACCCAAAACATGTCAGAGCAGATGAAACTATCCAACAATCGTATTTCTGAATCCAGTGAATATTTTAAAGCATTTAAAAGATTTTATATACAATACAGTGCCCATATTATTAAAGATCTATAGATAAGGGGTATCCATTTTTTTAATCTGCCTCAGAAAGCAATGGAATCAAACCTGGTTTTGAAGAAGTTGAAATACAGAAATGTCAGCAGAGAACACAAGGAAATTCTTTAAATTCTCTGACCTCTCTATTTGCAATTCCTGTAACACTTCTTCAGAAAGGCTCCCAAAATAGGAACCCCCAACACCTCCCCTAGTAATTCTGCTTCTTTGTTCTGATCCCTTCCTCTCTGCTCTCTTCTTCCCTTGACCCCAGACCCCATCACTCCCTGCTCTTCAGTTGTTTTCACCTTCCCCGCCCCCTGCCTAATAGTGTCAATATTTTTGTACTTGGAAGATGAAAAGCCATCATAACTGGAGATTATTTTGAAGTATGCCATGAGACACAAAAACCTGTACTATCTGTGTGTTGGTTTAGAAATGCTTTAAAAACATTTTTTGAGCTTTACAAAAAGACACCTTACAGAAAGGTAGTAGCCTCAAAGTCTTTTTCTTTTTTTCATGTCAGCTAGTGTTACTCAGAAACATCTAGACTCCCTGCTGGATTTAAAATATTAAAACATTTTTATTTGACTTGGTTAAAACATTTCAAAGTAAAGCCTATAGACTTATAGCACTAACAGAATTGTAAGAGGAAAAACTAAAGAATCTCTACAAAAAAGATTTCTATTCTGTGAAAGTTGAAAACTCTATGTTCTGAAAATAATAAAGTATGGAATTAAAAGCTTCACCTACCGTCATATCTACCAAACCTTTGGGACCCTTGATGCCCTGGAAAGAACAGAAACTTGGGTTTAAATGCAAGACTCTGAAGTCCAACATGTTTTTCTCCAGAGCTGGCCAGAGAGTCTGTGAAATTTCACCATGCTACATAGACCACCTTTCTGCCCTTCACTCCTCGCCCTGGAGTTCTGTCTGACCCCTTAAGGAAGAAGGCCAGAGTGCCTAAGAGGTGCGTCCTGAACCTCGTAGTCCAGGAGGCCTAGACAGATGATACATATAGACTCTTGGAAGACCAGGTCATTTTGAAACCAAGCCATAGTTTAGAATCAAATTCAGGAAAAGGAAAGGCCATTGAAGATGCCAGGACCCCTCATAGACAGTTCTAAAGCAGACTCCAGTCCTTCACCTATCCCTTCTCTTACAGCCACCCAGCATCACCCTGTTTCTGCCCTAATACTGAACAAGTCTTCCCAGGAATCCTTCAGATTAGAGCTGTCTGACTCCAGCCACTTTGAGAACCTAGAGATCATTGCTCTCATTTAGAGTCCACAAAGTAGTAATTTGTGACCTCAGGCAGGTCACTATAATCCTCTCAGCCTTTGTTTCTTCACCTGTAAAATGGGCATGGTTCTTCTACCTCTAAGATTTTTGATTCTCTGACTTTTTTGCATCTCTCCACTAAACCCGAAACTGCAGTGACTACCAGGTTCAACACACAGCTGACCTACTGTGCCACCCCTCTTGGAAGGACAGCCTAGCCTCCAAGGACAAGGCACAGGGCAGAACGATCACAGCCTCAGAGTCTTTCCTTTCATACCAAACAACTTTCCAGGGAATTTAAAAAATATTTATGGGTTTGCAACCCTGTTAGTTAAGATTATATAAATGCTATATTTTTTTTAGGATTTTCTTCTGGTTTTTTGCATAAATGTTGCTTATCTTGTTTGCATTGATTACACTCACTCTCCTGTGAATTTTATGTATTGTTTCACATATTTAGATAGATTCAGAAATCTCCAGTGACTCCAGTTTTTTCACCATGTTCGAATAAAAAATACATATTGAGTAAATATTTTGTATAAAGACTTGAAGCTAAGGTCCTCAAAAGCACTTTTGGCCCATTCCCTGTATGGATCCTCTCGTGTGTCCGAAAGTCCACTTCTTCTTTAGAGAGGCCTCTTATCAAACTCTTATTCATTTTTATACAAAGGTCAAAATTGGAAAGGAGAAAGGTACATGTTACCATTTGTCCTGGTGGGCCTTGGTCACCTGGAGTTCCAGCAAATCCAGGAAAGCCAGCATTACCCTAAAAACAACCAAACCAAAGGAATAAGTTTCCCCCTTGATTATAACTTGATTGCAACCATCAGACCCGCTTCGGGACACCAAGCTTTCATTATGCCTAGTGCCAGTGGGTCTGCCATTGACCAGTTAGTTTACGAACTGCATATTTGTGGAATGAGACATGGAGACTAGAAAGAGACAGGAATCTCTTTATGGAATCTCTAAACATCCAAATTTCCCCCTATAAGCCTAACCCCAGCCATGCAAATGTGTGCCTACACGAGCAAACACATACTTCCAGATAGAGCCTCAAAAGATGACTCAATACTCAGCCGAGTCTCAAGGTCATATAATAAAAAGAATGAGAGAAGTCAGCATTGAATGCAAGATAAAGAAAAGATTGCCCCACCACCTTCTGGTCCTCAGAAAAGGTACATAGTGGGCATAGGGTCACTGCTTACATTCCAGGTATTTGAAATGACACAGCATTATCTGCATATAATTAATGCCTTATCTTTCTTTATTTGAAACTAGAAAGATAAGCTAGCTGATCATGGCAACCACGGCCAGCAGCAAGCCAAGTTAGGCATAGATAAAAAAATGTTTTTCTATCCTTGCCAATGCATTAAAATATCAATTCTTGAGTGCCTGGAAAACACATTCTTTTTCTTTTCCTCTTTTCTGCACTGGATACTAGTCCATGTCCTTTTTCTAGGAGGCCTTAGCCTCTGATATCTGTCAGCTAAATATTACCCAAATGTTAGATATCCACAGAGTTACTGTTTCCAAAAAGAGATACCCAATGATTGTGGCTCTTCAAGATTGAACCTTCAGAACATGAAGGAATGGATTTTTAATGGGAGACTCTATAATGCACAGTGGACTCAAAGCCCACCAAGATGGAAACCACAGGCTTGAGCATCTAGTCCTACAATAGCTAAGAGAAAGTTAAGGCTTGGAAGAATCCTAAAGAAACAGCAATGTTTGCTCTACAGCTAAAACAATATCCTTCCAAATGATGCGAGGCTTACCAAAGACAGAAATGCCCCCAAACTTGTTTTTAGAAGGTTTATATTGTATAATTGGAACTTCAACTTGGATTTTCTGTTTATGGTTTTGTAAACTGCATTTTCATGGAGAAAATAAACAAGAGTGGGTTTAAGGGGGAAACGGGGTAGCCCAAGGAAAGTGTGGCATGTGCACTGACTGAGGAGAAATAGGCTTCCTACTAAGAAGTCCATTAACCCAATGAAAAAATGCTCCCGTGGTGACGTAGGCTTGTACAGATCTTGGGAAGTTCCTTTGGTTCTTACCCTCTTCCCTCTCACTCCCTTTGCTCCCTTCTCTCCTTGGTGTCCTGGGTCACCATCTTCTCCCTTAATAGAATCAAAATCAGATCTTTGAATATAAAGAAAAATAAATACAGACAAGTGACATAGGCAGCATACCGGTTGGCAGGGCCAGAAAGTTATCTTCTTACTTGTGCACCAGGATAGCCAGGGAATCCAGGTTCGCCCTAGTGTCAGAAATGAGATAAGGTCCTGTTTAATGTCATGTGATTAAGTATTTCCTTGGCATTCCTTGAAGAAAAGGAAAAAACTATAATTTTGAGGAAACAGACTCTAAACAAGTGCCAGGAAAAACAACTGTAGCAACAGTTGTTATCTTGAGCTGCTCTGAAGTGGCCATATTTCATTTCTCTAATCCAACATGAAACAACTCGTAAATGATTTTTACAAATTTTCCTTCTCCTTTATGTATCATGTAACAAAACTTCCTTCTTGGACATTTTTATCTCTCAGGTTAAATTCCCAGAGATCCAATGGAAACCAAGGGAAGGGGTGCCATGCTGCACATCGGGAAGCAAGTGCTCATTGTCAAAACCAAAGACATACAGCAAAGCAATTATTCCTTCAACAAATATTTATTTAGCATCTACTCTGTGCCAAGCACTTCTCTAGGCATGGGAATTCAGCAGTGAACAGAACAAAGACCCTGCTGTCATGAAACTTACATGCTAATGAGGAAGAGAGTGAACAAAGAAATATATAACATATCAGGTTGTAATCTCCTCAGAAAGGGGGCAAAAGAATTGCATGTGTTCAGGGCGGGGAGGCACTATTTTATATAAGGTGGTCAGGCAAAGCCTGAAAACCTTTTTGGAAGGTGGCATTTGGGCAAAGATGAACATTAATGGAGGAAGCAAGCCAAGCAGATATCTGGGAGAAAAGTGTTCCAGGCAGAAGGAAGAGTATATGAAAAAACCCTGAGGCAAGAGAATGAATGTCTTGAACTATCATCTGGGCCATGATAAATTTTTTTTTACTTCAGCATATTATGGGGGTACAAATATTTAGGTTACATATATTGCCCTTGCCCCACCCAAGTCAGAGCTTCAAGCATGTCCATCCTCCAGACGGTCTGCACCACACCCATTAGGTGTGAATATACCCATCCCCTCCTCCCTATCCCCTCCCCATCCCCACCTGCCTGACACCCAATGAATGTTACTACTATATGTGCACATACGTTGGTATTAACTGATCAAAAAAAATTTTTAATTAAAAAAAACTTAAAAAGAAGAGAATGAATGTGTGCTGCCATGTTTGAGGAACACCAAAGCAGAAGGGCAGGAGGAGACGAAGTCAGAGAGTTGACAGAGAGGCCTCATTGTATACTCTTATAGGCCATGTTAACAGTGGATTTTACTCTGAGTGACATGGGAGGGGGGGCCACAGCAGCTCTGAATAAAGGAATGACATGACCTGACTATGCTTTTAAAGATGTCTCTGGCTGCTATACGAGGCAAGGGAGAAGCAGGGAGACCACTGCTATTGCAGTGATACAGATAGAAAGTCATGTTGGCTTGGTCCAGAGGGTGGCAGTGCAGTAGTAAGAAATGATGAATTGCCTGATATATTTTAAAGACAGACTCACCATGATTTGTTGATTGATTAAAGGCAGGGGCTGAGAGAAAGAAGCTTATCAAAGATGGCAATTGTCTGTCCTGAGCAACTGGAAGGATGGAGTCTCCACTCCCTGAGATGGGGAGGGCTAGAGGAAGGGCAGGTTGTTAAGGGAATCAGTTTTGGATGACTGGATGTTTGATAATATTAAAGGATTATTATTAATTCTTAGATGTGAGGATGGTATTGTGGTTATATTTTTAAAAATTCATTTAAAGATGCAACCTGAAATAGCTACACATGAAATATATGATATGTGGGATTTGCTTCAAAATAATTGGTATGGGCAGGGCCAAGTGAGTGGGAGTATAAATAAAACAAAACAAAAACGGCCAAGGCCTTTTCATTATTTGAGCTAGGTGATGGGTACATGAGGTGGGACAGAGGGGTGTCATTACAGT